GGTACTTTTGCCACTGAGCTGTAAGCCCAGCCCAAGCTCTGGAAATCTTTAGCCATTGTAAATCAGTAGCCTATTGAATCAGAGAAATTGAAAGAAAAAATATTCAGTAAGATTGTGTAAAATTTTCTCCTATGAGGGTCACAGTTTAAATATTTTTGTAGGGGAAAATTTTGGTTAAGTGAAAAAATTTGGATTGGCTAAATGTCTAAACCTAGGTGGAACAGTAAAATCTTATTCTTAATAGATGGAAGGGTCAAATATTATTCTTAATAAATGGAAGAAATGAGAGGCATAGCAATTGTTTAAGAACAAACTCCTTGCTAATAGACTAAATGGTAAAAGCTTGAATCCAAGCTTTAGGTAAATAAATCACATACAGTGTATTAAGTGTTCAGATAATGTGTGTTTATCAGATAAAAACTGATTAAGCCCTGATAAAACAAAACATCAAATGGGAGGGGAGGCAGGCCAGGTAACTGGTGAACAAGAAAATATAAACTTGGGGCTGGGGATTTAGCTCAGTGGCACAGCGCTTGCCTGGCAAGCGCAAGGTCATGAGTTTGATTCCCGGTACCAGAAAAAAATTTAAAAAAATTTTAAAAAATAAACTATTCTCCAGGTAACATGGGCTCATGGAAAGAGGAGAAAATTCAGTAAAGTCCTTTATGACATAGTTATTTAGATCTGTATTAGAAATCAAGAAGGTAGATGTGTTATTCTATAATGCCACTTCTTCTTCTTCTTATTATTTTTTTCCAGTACCAGGAATCGAACTCATGACCTCCCGCTTGCCAGGCAGGCACTGTGCCACTGAGCTAAATCCCCAGCCCCTACATCTTATTTTATAATCTAATATTAATATATTTTCCTACCATCCATAGAATGAAAGTGATTTTATATATAGGAAATTAACATGTGAAATAGGTGGACAAAAGAATTATCCAGGAATTGTATGCAAGGACCATATGGGAATTACATTTTTGTAAACAAGCCCAGAAATCTGAATACTGCTAGGTATTTATGAGTCCATGCTTTACCAAGCCTCTGAATGGTCAGATCTCCCGCTGGTTACTTCACGCTTACGAATCTGGGAAACTGAATAAAACCAAACCTTAAAGAGTCTAGTTTTAAAGAAAGAAAGCAGTATCAAAATATACTAAGGCAAAGAGGATTTAAAGCTAAAATATAACTTCGTATGTTGAAAAAAGGAAAGTATTACAAAGAAATACAACAAAACATTAATGGTGCTTGCATTTATTTACTTATTTATTCTGGCACCGGGAATTGAACTCAGAACCTTGCGGGGTTGCCAGGCAGGCGCTTATGCCACTGAGCTGTATCCCCAGCCCTAATGATGCTTTTAAGTGTTGAAATAAACCATGTTTTTTAAACTTTTCTCCTTGCATATCTTGATATTTACAAATTTTCTACAATAGGATTTTTACTATAACTAGAAAACAATCGATCAGTAAAAAGCGCAATCTAACTGTTGAGATTACTGTTATATGCAAATTGAATACATTTTACCACTGGTAATGCCTTTGGCTATAAAGAAAAGATGATTTCCATGGAAGCACTACAGTATTTTATAGCTAATTAATTGGGAAGGCTTTGGGCAAAATCAGAACTTCAGATCCTGAAACCTGAGTACAGTAAAGATTTGATAGACACAGGGAAGAAAAAGTAAGATCAATGGAAGGTCTTCCACACAGCAAGAACATACTGTCCCCGAGTGTGTAAAAATATGATAAATGTGAAATCAAGGCAAAGGGAGCCTTATATGAAAGTGAATAATAAATGAGAAGAGATTAGAAAGTAAACTGGCCTTGAATTTGAAAATAAAGAGCCATGAACATGACTCTATATTTTGAATGTCGAAATTAAGAAAGTCCACTTGGAAATGAGCTTACGGAATGAGGAAAATCAACATAACTGCAGTGAGATTTGTTTCTATTTCAGGGGCCTTCAAGGCATTAACATGGGGTCTGTTTTATTAACACTATAGCTTTCCCTTTACTTCCAAGAAAAAGCACATATAATGCTTTTACTCTTCATAATTCACTTTCTTACTTAAATATGCATTGATTTTTCTGAATCTGTAGCACATCTGCTTGCAAAACATTCATTGACTTCATGGAACTAAACAATAAGTATTGGTTGAGGTTAATGTACACACATGCAATAAAACTGTCAACACCGTCATCTTCCTGGTACCTCAGCGTATAACAAAAGCATCACTAGACAGTGAGGCAACAGAGTCTGAAAAGTAAAGTACATAATGGAAGGAAGATGGGGCCTGTGGCCTCAGAGGGATACGGGTTCAAATCCTAGCTCTGGCTCTTGTTACCTGTCACATTTGATCAAATGATACCTCTAAACCCCATTTATTTATATTTAAACTGAAGATGATCTTATTTGTAATTTAACTTTTATAAAAATTAAATAAGTTATGTAAATTAAAGCATATAATAGAATGACAAGTACATAATAAACTCCCAATAGCAGTAATATGGTTTTTGTCATCAGTATAATCTCAGAAAATGTGACTTTTTCTTTTTTCTCATTTTATGATGTTGGAGACCCAGGGACTCACGCATGCTAGGCAAACACTCTGCCACTGAGCTACATCCTAACATAACAGTGACTTTTCTATGTCTCCCACACCTTACTACGAAGGCCTCACATCTAGTGGGTGAGATGAACAGGCAAATTTAATTTGCAATTTTTTGAATGTTTTCAATGAATGTGAAGGGATCCATTTTAAACTAACATTTTCTTCTTGAAATGATGAGATCATTGTGGAAAGTGTAGTAGAAAGATAGGTCTAAGGAAACATGGAGAGCAGGATGTGGACTTGGTGCATGTTATAATTTGCTAAGACCTTTTGTTGCTTAAAAGATGTTTTCTGAAAAATCAGTCTTTAACACTGAGGCTTCTTTGTCATTTCTTCAAATTGTATGTAAACACCCTGTCTCAAAAACACAAAACAAAACAAAACAAAACAAAACAAAACAAAACAAAACACAACAAAAACCGGGCATGGTGGCGCATGCCTGTAATCCCAGCACTCAGGAGGCTGAGGCAGGAGGATCATTGCGAGTTCGAGGCCAGCCTGCGCTACAAAGTGAGCTCAAGGTCAGCCTGAACTGCATAATGAGACCCTGTCTCAAAAAGACACACACACAAAATCAAATTGTATGTAAACAAATAATTAGTCAGATAGATTCTAATTACTCAAGATCATTCAGAAATTTCAGAGGCGAATTTGGGGTCAGAGGGTCAAAATGCCATCCCTGCCGTGCGTTATTGACAATGAGAGTTTCCTAAAATGTTGGGTAGAGGGACTAAGTGTGACCCATTCATATATCCTATGTTAGCACTGCAATCAAAGTTGACAGCACTGGAACCCTAGTTACATTATGATGGAATACTTAACAAAAACAATTTAGAATTTCTAAAGTATTACACTAATAATTGTCTTAATATCTAATATTATGTGTTCTATAGTAATTATTTACCTTGTTTTCATTGTATTATAGATTTCTAAGACCTATTATAGAGGGCAAGAGATATAGCTTAGCAGCACAAGCAACTGCCTGGCAAGGGCAAGGTCCTGAGTTCGATTCCCTGTACCAAAGGAAAAAAAAAAAGAATCGTAAGACCTATTATATTTACCGGATATATTTTCAAAATAGAAAAATGAAAGAAATGGATAAGAATGATGGAGAATGATATTTATCATTCTTATGGAAATTTTAGGGAGATGCAATGTAGGTCCATGGTAGAGTGCCTGTCTAAAATCAATCCCATGTGCAAACATAAAATTAAATCTACTAATATTGGGGACTAAGGGTTTAATTTGGTTTTAAAGCACTTAAACTGCCATGCCTAAATCCCTGAACCTGATTTGCAGCCCTTAAAAAAAATTACTGTCTAATTCCTATTATTAATATCTGTTCTTTAGAAAATGTTTAAAATAATATTATTTCTGAGCCAGGCGTGGTGGCACACACCTGTAATCCCAGCCCTCGGGAGGCTGA